AAGGTAAGTAAGTGAGGTAAGGCATGTGTTAAACAGCTTGATTTATCCACTCCCCAGTGCATACACAGATCAAAACATCATGTTCCACCGTAAATACATACAACTTTTACTTGTCAATTGAAAAACGAAATTTAAAAAACAGAAAAGTTAAAAAGCATGTAAAAAGGAATAGCATATAAGAAGGTTAGAAAAAAAGCACTTTTTCTATTACTTATCCCCTTAAGAGTGGGCCTGCTTGGAGAGAGATGCCAAGAACCAGCACTCCTGTTTACTGCACCTGCGCTCTGGCACTGAACGGCCCACCTCACCACTTTGCCTCACTTCATTCCTACAGAGGCCCCGAGATATAGATGTTATGGTTATACCCATCTTACAGATTTCAGAATTAGTAAGTATCAGAGCCAGGCTGGTATGGTGCGGCCACCATATTGCATGGCAATCGTACCTGACAGTACTAGCTTCTTAAGCATACCCTGAGAATGACCCTATGGTCTAAACAGAACCTGCATTTGGAGTTCTTTTTTTTTTTGAGACAGAGTCTTGCTCTGTCATTCAGGCTGTAGTGCAGTGGCACGATCTCAGCTCACTGCAACCTCCGCCTCCCAGGTTCAAGCGATTCTCCTGCCTCAGCCTCCCTGTAGCTGGGATTACAGGTGCCCACCACCATGCCCAGCTAATTTTTATCTTTTTAGTAGAGACAGGGTTTCACCATTCGGCCAGGCTGGTCTCGACCTCCTGACCTCAAGTTATCTGCCTGCCTTGGCCTCCCCCACTACTGGGATTACTGGTGTGAGCCACTGTTCCTAGCCTTGTTTGGAGTTCTGAGCTAAGAAATCTGGGTGTGGCCAACCCAGAGATTCATTCCTTATTTATGAAGAACATCTGAATCCCTGGCTCATCCCATGGAACACATGCTGTATAGAGGATCCAAGCCCTTTGTTTCGGGTTAAGTGAAAGTTGCCAGGTGGAGGGTGCCAAGTAAAAATGCCATATAACTTGCATGCTTTTTCAAATGGTAGTGATTCTCTGTCCAGCCCACCACCACTGGACCACCCTGTATGTAATTTCCCTCAATAAACTCCATGTCTTGCTTGCTGACTCCGGGTCTTTTCTTCAGCCCCTCGAGCCTGGTACCAACCCTTCTGAAGTCAGCAGGGGTCCAGCATGACACGTGTCTAACCCCTGCCATGTCTAGCCCTGTCCCTGCTGCTGCAGGATGCCTCAGACGCCGGGGAAGCTCGCACGGTCCTCTTGAGCCCCATCAGCACCTTTCGTCTCTTCTTTAGCTTTAGTCTCCTCTGACAATGGCAGGACTGGACTAGCTCAGGTGGGTTTTAGGAACAGAACCCTTTTCCTAATTGAAATCTTATTCTTTAGATTTAGTCTTTAGACAGGTATAAAAACAAAATAGTAGAACTACTCTGACTGAAGAGAGAGAGAGAGAGAGAGAGAGAGAGAGAGAGAGAGAGAAGAGAGAGAGAGAGTGTGTGTGTGTGTGTGTGTGTAGGAGTGGAAGGCCCTTAGCCCTGCTCGGTGACACCCCTTCTCCTCCTTTCTATGGTGGTACCCTTGGTGTTCTTTGGGATTCAATTTGAATAAACACTCAAGCAGATTGCCCCAGTGGGGCGGGGCCTCAGGTCCTGATTTTTTTAATTTTTTAATTTTTTTTTGAGATGGAGTCTTGTTCTGTTGCCCAGGCTGGAGTACAATGCCATGATCTCGCCTCACTGCAACTTCCAATTCCTGGGTTCAAGCCTCAGCCTCCTGGGTAGCTTGGATTACAGGCACCTGCCACCATGCCTGGCTAATTTTTGTATTTTTAATACATGTTGGTTAAGTTGGTCTTGAACTCCCAACCTCAGGTGATCCGCCTGCCTCAGCCTCCCAAAGTGCTGGGATTACAGGAGTGAGCCACCACACCCGGCCGAAGCCCTGATTTAAAGGAAGTCCTAAGTGCACCAGGTCTGGGGCAGCCTTTCCCTGGCCCTCTGGGGCCAAGACCTGGCTGTATACAAACAGGTACAAGGGCCTGTGGTGCTGCCCAACCTCTGGGCATGTCTTTGACCCTCTATGGGCCAATCCCTCTATCTGTGAGATACAGCCGGGTCTAGAGGCAGTGCCTGCAAGGAGGAGGCACTGGGAGCCGGGAGGCCTGCAGCACCTCCGAACTCACAGAGGCTGCGTGGAGACACAGAGTCCCAGGGGAATGGGGGCCTCCTGACTGGGCAATCCTGGTAGACCAGCCCAAAGTCCTGGATTTTAAGGACCATCACCACCTCACACTCCTGTCCCCCATCCCTGACCATTCTCCCAAAGAAGTACATGGAAGTTAATGACTGGGAGATAGTGGCCATCACAGGCTTACAGACTCTTAGCCAAAATTGCAGCCATTTAGAAATGTGGATTTGGGGAGTCATGGACCATTCGAGGCATAGACTTTTATAATAATATAAGTAAGTATTTGAGAAGCTCTATTAGGAACACAGAATTTTAAAACCATGTAATTTTAAAATCCCAAACTCTCAGACACCTCATCAGTGGCCCTCGTGGGCCAGGCCAGCCAGCGTTACTGCAAGCAGACCCGGCCAAGGCAGCCTCAGGGAGGCAGAGGAACAATTCCTCCCACATCAATATTTATTGCCTGAGAGCTGCTGGAAGCAGATCATCATGTTCTCAGCCCTTGTTTCTTTTTAAAGAACCTCTCACCCCCTTCCTTCCCCACTCCCCATCCCCAATGTGCTGACAGAATGAATCCAGACAGCCAGACAGGTTCACAGCTGGGGAGCCGGGGTTTCAAAGCATCACAGAGACACAGCTCTTAAAATTCGAGTCTCTGAATCATAGCAGCTCTGACTTAAGGAATCGTGCATTCTCAGAATCTGAGGTGCACAGGATATTGCTCCAGTAACCTAACCTCGGCATCTTAGACAGCAGCACAGAATGCGGAAGTGGCTTGCTGCTCAAAGTCACGTGGCTGACATGGGACAGAGCGAAGCCCAGTCTCTCACCCCTAAACTTTGCTTTTGTCACCTATTCCACCCATGGCTCAACTGGCATTCTTCTCTGTTCAAATTTAGGACCCAATTTGGAAATTATCTGTAACCAGCAATACAGCCTCTCTCTCTTTCCTCTAAGATTATCACCCCCACTTCTAAGTTCTAGGAATTTCATCTTAAGCAAACTTTGGCCTGAGCTAGGCAGAATCAGAAAGGCCCATCTGTGGTTCCAAACTGTCTTCTTCCCCTGAAACTGCTCGTTCCCCGGCAGCTGCCTCCCCCTGCCTCTGAGCCAGCTGTACCCAATCCCAGCATCAGCCCAAATTATCACTGTCTTGGGGACATCTTATAGCAGGGCATCTATGTGCAGTCCCCCACCTGGGTAGCTCCCAGATGCACCCCAACCCCTCACTGCCAATGCACGGCGTCCACCCGGCCTGGAGCACCGTCAGAGCTGTCTCATTTCTCTGCCCCTTCCCACCCTCTCCAAACATTCAAATGCATCAACCTGCCACAGAAATGCTCTTGCGGCAAAAATATGCAACAGGATTTTTATAAACTCTCCCTTTGAAATTAGAATTACTTAGCAACAAGTTACTTAATTTACGATTGTCTGTGATTTCTCAACAGCCACCTCCCATACTTGAGAAAAAGGAAATCGAATGCACATATTTTCAGAATGTAATGAAATGTGTAGGAATATTAAAGAAAACTCAGTGAACCTGACATTACTTGCATGTGGTTAAACTTTTAGGCCTGGTGCGGTGGCTCACACCTATAATCCCAACACTTTGGGAAGCCGAGGAAGGCAGGTCACCTGAGGTCAGGGGTTCGAGACCAGCTTGGCCAACATGGTAAAATGCTGTCTCTACTAAAAATACAAAATTAGCCAGGCCTGGTGGCTCACGCCTGTAATCCCAGCTTCTTGGGAGGCTGAGGCAGGAGAATCACTTGCACCTGGGAGTTGGAGATTGCGGTCAGCTGAGACGGTGGCCACTGTACTCTAGCCTGGGCAATAGAGTGAGACACCATCTCAACAAACAAAAATAGAAATAAATAAATAAGTAAACTTTAACAATTGTTTCTATGTTGTCATTTTCTTTTTAATTTAAAGCCAGTTTGTTGTTTTTTAGGCCTCGTGTTTTTGTGGATACTGGGAAAACTTGGTGGTCCCGGGCCTGGAATGGCCTGTGCTGCCCAGTGGCTCACACGATCCTGTCCTCTCCTACCAGCTTTGTGACCCTGGGCAAATCGCTCCACTGGCTGGACCTCCATGTCCTCTTCTGAGGAGAGACCCACCTGCCCCAAGAGCAGAGAAGGGGGATTCTAGATACCCCTGGAGCATCAGACCGGTCGTGACTTGTCCATGAGTCTGTGTCCTCCCCAGATTGCGCCTGCTGGAAGGGTGTCGGCCATGGACTGATCTTCAGGTCCAGGCTGGGGCCTGCACTCTGTGCATGTGTGTCCCCTTCATTGTCCCCAAAAGAGTCAGGTTTACTTCTACAGCCAAATCCTTCACCCAGGTGTTTCTGTGCCTGGAATCTCTGTTCCTCTCTTCTTTCTGTGCTTCCACACATCCTTCAAAGTCCAGCTGAAATCCTTCCTCTTCAGGGAAGTCTTCCCAGATTGTCCCACTCCACCCACCCTCCCAATTCTTAACATTCCTATGGAAGGTTGAGAATATAAAAACTTTAAGTGATAAGCACAGAGGCCATATTGCAATGGTTAGCATGACGGGCATGGGCTGAGAAAGGTGCGGGTTCTCATCCCAGCACTGCCCTTGCTGGCTCTGTGATCTTGGGTAAGTCCCTTTCCAACACTGGCTCTGGGTCTCCTCAGCTGTGGAGAGGGCAGGTGATATCACTGTGCAAGGCTGTTGGAAAGATGCAAAGGAGCCGAGGCAGGAAGTACAATGCGTAGTGGGATGAAGTGCAATATCACAAAGCAGAATAAGTGGGTGGGGCTGGAGCCTGCACCCAGACAGGTGACGTGAAGGGGGCTTACCTTTCTGGCAGGTGAGTCTGTGACTGCTAAGACCTTTCGCCGGAACTGAAGCTCATCCTTTTCCTTGGGCATTTCCTTAGGGAAGAAGAAGTAGGGGATGGCAGCCAGGGCCACTGTGCCGGCAGCAATGAGGAAGCCCAGCCACCAGGCACCCACCCATCTGGGGTCCTTTATGGTCAGGCTGATACCACCTGGAAGAGAAGAGCATAGTGATGTTAGGGTCAGGATGATGGGCTGTCACTTCTAAGCCACCATCTAGGACTGGCCTCTGAGACATTAGGTGGCCAAGGCTGGGAGTCAGGAGACCTGAGTTCCAATCTCTGCTCTGCCAGGTGTGTCCTGTGTGACCCTGGGCAAGTCACTGGCCCTTTCCAAGCCTTGGCTTCTTCAACTACTAAGGCAGTCTAGTGCAGTGGTCAAGGCCATGGGGACACTAGCGGTGGACTCCTGGGTCTGAATTCCATTACTAATTCATAACCTTGGGCAAGCTACTTAACCTCTTGGTGCCTCAGTTTTTGTCCTTTGTGAAATTCAGATATTAGTAGCTTCCAAATCATAGGGTTGTTGTGAACATTATAGAAATTCGTAGATGTGGCCGGGCGCAATGGCGCGTGCCTGTAGTCCCAGCTACTAGGGAGGCTGAGGCTGGAGGATCACTTGAGTCCAGGAGTTCTGGGCTGTAGTGCGCTATGCCAATTGGGTGTCTGCACTAAGTTCGGCATCAATATGGTGACCTCCCAGAAGCGAGGGACCATTAGGTTGCCTAAGGAGGGGTGAATTGGCCCAGGTTGGAAACGGAGCAGGTCAAAACTCCCGTGCTGATCAGTAGTGGGATCGCACCTGTGAATAGCCACTGCACTCCAGCCTGGGCAACATAGCAAGGCCCTGAGTCTTAAAAAAAAGAAATTTTAAAAGTAAATAAATAAAAATTTAAAAAAATTCATAGATGTGAAGCACTTAAAAGAGTATGTGCCATATGGGTACCTGCTCCTCCTCCTCCTCCTCTTCCTCTTTCTCATTACTATTGTGATTATTATTCTTAAATGATTGGTTAGGATTACAGTTGTGTTACTCAGACTTGCATGATGATTAATATCCCCAGGGATGCTTGTCAAAAATGCCTGGCCTTACCAAAGACCCACTTAGAATGACCACAGAGTGGGGTGGGAAGGTGACCAAGGAATCTGTACCTTTAACAAGTTCTCCAGATGATTTTGAGCCCCAACTAGGTTTAATTAGGACTAGATTATCCCAGATGTACCTCCTGGCTAGAACACACAAAGCTCCCGTCATCCTTCTTAACCCCAAGGCTGAGTTGCGTACATTCTCCTTCAATCTCCACAGTATCCGAAAATGCTTCATAAAAATACAAATGAGCGGGGTGCAGTGGCTCAAGCCTGTAATCCCAGTACTTTGGGAGGCTGAGGTGGAAGGATCATTTGAGACCAGGAGTTCAAGACCACCCTGAGAAACATAGTGAGGCCCTGTCTCTACAAATAAATTAAAAAGTTAGCCAGGTGTGATGGTACACACCTGTAGTCTCAGCTACTCTGGAGGCTGAGGCGGCAAGATTGGTTGAGCCCAGGCATCCAAGGCTGCAGTGAGCTAGGACTGTGCCACTTCATGAGGGACAGAGTGAGACCCTGTCTCAAAACAAAAACAAGAAAAACCAAGTGCTCCTTGATACGCCAATCCCACATGCAGAGTTGGTTCCTCCCAGGCGGGGACCAGAGGACACAGTTGGCACTTGGCAAATGTACCTGTGAGGCCAGGGATGGGTTTGGCTTTTGCACTGATTAGACTTGTTTGTCTCCTTACTTGTTATCTCCCCTGCCTCCGTGTCAGGCTGGTGAGAGCTCACACCTGCCCCTCTCCAACTCCTCCACTTCTCTCATATCAGTCTGTCCTGCAGCTGGCATGATCCGACCACCCTGTGAAATCCGCCATGGAGAAGGGAGTTTCGAGAAGGGAGTTTCGAGGTGGCAGGCTGGTCCACAGAAATGTCATATCTGCCTGTGGAGATGCCCTGTCTGCCAGGACAATGTCAACAGAGTCAGAAAACACACCCCCTTGCAGAGAGCTGAGGTGTGTCTGGGAAATCTAGGGAACTCCTGACTCTCATGGCTTTTCTTTCAAGGGAGGATGGGGTTGCAGCCAGAGCCCACGCTCCGGACCCAGCCTTCCAGAAGGAAAGGGGGAAGGGCAGGGCTGTCCCTAGTGGCTGCTGTCCAGAGCCACGCAGACCTGTTCTGGCTGGAGGCACTCATGGGCAAAAGTGGGGGAACAAGAAGCAGCATCTGCCTGTTATTCAGCCACTCACATCACCTGAGGCTCCCAGAATTGGCAGAAAGTCTGCAGGTGAGAATGGCAGGAGGCAGGAGGCACATTTTGAGCTGCTTGGTGTGACAAGCTGGGAGCTGGGATGCCTCAGTGACATGCTCTAACAGGCATACCCTCTGGCTCTCCAAGGGTTCCAGAGCCCCAGAAACTCCAACACCCCTCCCTCCCGGCCACCTTCAGACCAAGCGTGAGTTCCACTCCTTGGCCCACTTTGACCACTGCCTGGACCAGAGACCATTGTTTCCCAGATGGTGCCCCTGGCAGTTTCCTAGACTCTGAGCTGGTCAGAACTAGAAGGGTTCTTAGAGGTCACAGTAAATGTCCCACCTGAGAGAGGCCCAGGGTAATACACTGAGTCCCCAAGGCCTGCTCCAAAGTTCTCTCCAGGGTGCACTGTCCTCTCTGCTTAACTCAAGTCTTGTTTCCCGATAAAGATGGGGGCTCCCTACAGGTCAAGAGAGTATGCTCTTCCACCTGCCCACAGCATGTGTGAGCAGAGGGCTGAGGGCCTGGAGAAGGTGGGGTATGGAACAGGGCGAAGACTCCTAGTAATAGTAGTGATGGCAACCACGGCTCCTTATCTGATGGCACCTTATAGTTTCTCTCCACCATCTCACTGGACTCTGATTACAGCCTTGGGGGACAGACAGGACAGAGATTATCTCACATATGAGAAAGCTGAGGTTCAGAGAAGCTAAGAGGCTTGCCCAAGGTCAGTGGTGCTGATAGGATTTGAACCAAGGTCCCTGGAATCAGTGTCTCCCATGAGAGTGGCAGTCAGTTAGCTAGTGTCTAGCAAACATGTGCTCTTGAGACTCACCTTCCGGCATCCGGTTAATGTCCACATAAAGGCGCAGCATGAGGCTGCCCAGCCCAAAGGCCAGGCCCGGCCCCATCATGGTCACTGCAAACAGGATTCCTACAACACAAAGCTGGGGTTAGGACCCTCTGGCCCTGGCTTCCCTCCACAAACTAGTGCCTGCCTAGTCTCTGATGGGCAAGAACACTCTGTCCCCCCTGGTCAGACATGGGGAACTCTCTGGGGCTTCCCTGGACCTTTACTGGCCAGATAGGGAAGGGGGCAGGGACTCCATCTCCAGCCCCAACACTGGGTCTCTCTACCTCCTAGCTGAGCCTGGCCTGTCCCTCAGAGGCCAAGGGATGGGACCGGTTCTCACCGAGGTAGAGGGGCGAGTTGCTGTTGTGGGCAAAGTCATCAATGTAGGAGATGCCAAAGGGCTGAATGGGCACCCCGCCCACGCCCAGCAGGGTCTGTGCCACGAACATGATCCCCACCAAACCCAGATGCTGGGCTTCCGTGGAGCTCGAGCAGTTGCCGTTGGAGGGAGCTGGGGCTGGAGCCGAGGCTGTGGGCAGGCACAGGGAAGCCTCGAAGTCCTGTGGCGTATTCTCTGAGAGATGACAATGACAAATATTACGATAGCTAAGACTTCAATAGCGCTTACTCAGGAAAGGTACTGCTCTAAGCACTGCGTGGAGAAATCACTTGAGACCCACAACAAACCTCAGGGGTGAGTGCTCTTTTTGCCTGTTTCACAGGTGAGGAAACTGACACTCAGACAGCAACTAGTAAGGGTCCAGGGCCAGAACTGGAATCCAGGAGGTCTGGCTTCAGAGTCCATATGCTCTTAAACTGCCCTCTGCCACCTTTCTGAGCAGAGGCATTTGCAAGTGCCACAGCAACGACGGCCCCTGGATGGGGCGGGGTGGTCAAAGGAGGTGAAGTTTGAACTGAGTCTGGAAGAATAAACAGAATTTTCTGGAAAGAGAGGGAGGGGAGGGGTGTTCCAGGGAGAGGTCACAGTACGGGGCAAAACCCAGGGACTTGAAAGGGCACTGTCCTGGGAGAATCAGAAGCTCAGAATGGCTAGACCATAAAGTGTGAGGGCAAGGCCAGGGCTGAAGGTAGGGTGGGGCAGGATGGGGCAACTGGGCTGGATGGTGGAGGGCTCTGGGGCCCTTGGCATTCACTTTGGGGAGGGTTCCGTGTCAGCTTGGGACACAGATGCAGAGTACAGGAAAGAATTTCTTAATTTAGCACCCTACATTTGTTCCTGGAGTTCACCAACATTTGGTGAGCAAACTTGAGGAGACCCTCACGATATTATTATCCCAAATGTGGCTGCAGAAGCAGCCTTCTCTCTGCAGCCCTGCATTTATAGAGCTGGGACTCTGAGCTGTGTCAGCCCAGTCCGGAGAGCCACTCCCTTGGGCTGCAAAGAGCTGTGTGAACCAAGGTCAAGGACCTGAAAGAAGCCTTCCATGGAGGCTGCCTGGGACTTGCTGTGTGACTTTGACAGAGGCCCTTACCCACTCTGGGTCTTGGTTTCTTTCATCTTTCAAATGAAAGAAAGAACAACATTCTCCAGATAAGGAATTCAGAAGCAGAATCAATAATTCAGCAGTTCAGAGCAGCAGCTAAGGCAGGGATACCTGGGTGTGTCCTTGGGGCAGTTCCCCCTGCTCTCTGAGCCTTGGTTTCCTCACTTGTGAGGAAGTAATGATAACCCCTGCCTCTGGAGACCGTGAACATTAAGAGTGGTGGGTGGTGAGTGTGCCCAGGCATGGGGCCTACTAGACGTCAGATGCAACAATTATTACAGAGGTCATGTCTGCCTTCCCCATCCCTGTGGCCCCAGTGCCCCCAGAGGGCCTGGTACAGAACACAGCTTCATCAATATTGGATAAAGAATGAGAGAATGGAATAGTCTTGAGCATCAGATCAGGAGGCGGACTTCGAGATCCCCGAGTCTCTCCCACTCTTTGGGCTGATGTAAAGATGGAGGCTCAGACAGGAGAAGGGCTTTGCTTTAAGATTCAGGGGCACCTATTGCAGAGGGGGGTTGTATGGTAGTGAGGATTAAGAACATTTGTGACCCTGCGCAGGAAAAGCTCTGCAAAGTGAAAACTCTCTACAAAGAAATGTCAGGAAGTATTAGTTTTCGGTATTCCAAGGAGTTCTCTGGACAAATTTCCACACAGACCTAGAGAACCGCTCTGCATCCTTCATGCACACACTGGGCTTTCCCACTTCCCTGCCTCTGCGCCATGCCCTCCCCTCCACCTGCAGCTCCCACCTCTCTCTAAGCTGTAGCTCAAGTGCCACCTCCTCCAGCCCCTCCAGCTCCCTCCAGCTGCCAGGGTCCTTCCCCTCTTCAGGGCTCTAATGGCCCCCTCTGGCCACCTCCCAAGGTGCTGGGCACTCTACCTTGTAGGAGAGTTGCCTGTGCTCACTGCACCCCACTGGGTCATGTCTGTCCCCACTCCCTGGCCTCTGGTCTGGTACAGAGCGGGACTTCAGGGGTGTGAGCTGGTGGGAGAGTGAGGGAGGAAGGCTGCTCTCTGACAGTCCTCCTACCCTGGGAAGCCTTCTTCAGCCAAGCCAGGGAGTGGGCTCCTCCCACCCCTGTGCTTCCCTCCTCACACAACTGAAACACTGTCTCCTCTCCCAGACTGGAAGCTCCCTAGAGTACAAAGGACTGATTCCCCCAAGAGGCTCAGGCATGAAGTAGGCAGCATTAAGAGTTTGTTGGGTATCCCACTGAATGGATGAATAGATAAACGGATGAGTGGGTGGATGGATCGATGCGTGGATAGATGACAGATGAATGGATGGATGGGTGGGTGAGTGGGTAGGAGAGGGAAGGAATAGAGAGTGATCAGGTTGTTAGGGTCATTCTCTGAGACAGGCATCCATTTGTCAAGCAAGTTCTCAACAAAATCCCACTGGGCTGAACACGGCTTCACCATTCCTGTCCAGAATTCTTTAATTTTTTAAATTTGTTCATTCATTCGTTCATTCTTTTTTTTGCCAATGTCTTTTGTGAGGATTAAATGCCTGACTACACATTGAGTGCTTAGAGCAGTGTCTGGTGCATAGTAAGTGGTGTATGACACTATGATTATTACACAGGCAATTCCTGAGGGTCGACTGAATGCCAGGCCCTCAAAGTAGGCTGCATTGTAAATTCACCCCCACCTAAAACCCACAGTGACACACAAGCAGGCCCTCACCACTCTGTGCTGGGCCTACTTCCTACCCCACTCCCCAGGCCTGCCAGAGACCCACTGGGGCTGGGGCCTGCGGAGCCAGCTGGGGTTGGGGACCCGGGATGCTGGGGTGCATCCTGCCCGATGAAGGCGCCTGTGGGTGGGCCCTGGCACAAAGCAATGCAGAGGCTCATGTCCCACTCCTGCCCAGCCCCTGCTGCTCTTACCAGGGCTGGTGTTGTCGTAGCGGTACGGCTCCGAGATGAAGTGCGGGAGAGTCATGAGCAGGCCCGCCAGGGACACAAGGATGGCTCCACAGCCAATGAATCGGGGCCGGTGCACCCGGCTGCCAAAATAGCTCACAAACACAATCAAGGCTGTGTTCCCCACCTGCAAAGGGACGAGGTGACCCATTAAAGTGGAGCAGTGCCCAGGGCTGGGGGCCTGCACCATCCTTGTCTCTATCTCCAACTTCAGTATGCCCATCTGAATAATGGACTGAATGAAAATCATCTGGGTCCCTCCCCTAGGTCCTCCTTGGAAGGGCCACACTGCCCCTTTAGGGGAGAGAAATGAGGGCAGAGTGGAGAAAGCTAGGAGTTCAATTCTATTTTTGAACAGACTGGACCCCATGTTAGAATATGGAGGAGGATGGGCCACTGAATGAAGGGATTTCGAGTTTCAGGAATGTCATAAACGAGAAAAGCAAAGTCTAAAGCCAGATCAAAGCTTGGATTTTTTTATTTTTTAGACGGAGTTTCGCTCTTGTTTCCCAGGAAGGAGTGCAACGGCGTGATCTCGGCTCACTGCAACCTCCGCCTCCCAGGTTCAAGCAATTCTCCTGCCTCAGCCTCCCAAGTAGCTGAGATTACAGACATGCACCACCATGCTTGGCTAATTTTTGCATTTTTAGTAGAGACAGGATTTCATCATGTTGGCCAGGCTGGTCTGGAACTCCCGACCTCATGTGATCCACCCACCTCAGCCTCCCAAAGTGCTGGGATTAAAGGTGTGAAACACCACACCCAGACTAAGGCTTGAAATTTTGGCTTTAGGACCACAATCCTGGGATGTGAGTTCTGGAGGGGACTTCAGAGCTGGCAGGGCAGGGGCAGTCTCTGCCACCACAAGCAGGGGGTGCATTGGCTCTGCTGTTTATTGGTTGGTGACCATGGGTGAGCCCCAGACACTCCTCGCTGGAGCGAATGGGGCAGTATCAACGGGGGAGCCCAGGGATGGCTGACCCTGGAAAGGACAGCCACACTCCACAGTAGCCATATCCATAGATAGGGCCCTGAGGATCAGAGACAGGGAGTGACTTGCCCAAGGTCCCAGAGCAAGGTCAGGGCTTTCCCCTCCCACCTCAGAGTGGGGTGCTGAGGAGGATGTGGGGACATTGCAGTTGGACGGCCTTGGATTGTGAGGAATATAACACATTACCCAGCAGGGAGGATTTCATGAGAATCTGCCCAGAGAAGAAAAATGACTTTCTTCAGGGTAAAAACATCTGGTGGGGGAAGGACTGAAGGACTGGAGCACAGCTGGACTCTGATCTCCAAATCCACCCAAAGCAGTTCATCTGCTCCTCCCTGCCTGGCTGCGGGCCCCACAGGCCTGTGAAGGACAGACACTCTGTGCTGTGGTATCCCTCCCCACACCGCCCCAAGGCCCAGAGGTTCTGCTCTTGAAGCTATTTAAGCCTCTCTCCCTACTGTTGAAGTGGCTGTCTTTGATTCCTTCCTGGGACAGGCAATAGCTGGACGCCTGAAAAGGCAAAGGATGCAAAGGGAGAGCAGGTAGATATGGGGACCCTGGCTAGCTCTGAAATATCCCAGGACCCAATCCAGTAGAGATTCCCAAGGGGAGACAGCCAGGTCCAGGTCCTAGAAGACAGCTGCAAGCGCTCGTGGGTTTCAGGCAAGCGCCGGGACAGGGGAAGGCTTTAAGGTGGGTAGTGGGAGGGAAGGCTGGTGGAAGGTGGGGAGCAAGTCTCCCTCACTGTCTACCCCTGTGGCTGGGTGGGGCCTGTACCTCGTTGAAGGAAGCCAGCAGCCCAGATGTCTGGCTGGAGAGGCCGAAGCGCTTCTCCACTGTGGAAATGGAGCTCTTGAGGTATCCAGAGATCATGAGCTGCGCCAGCTGCAGCACGCTGTGGCACAGGACAAACAGCTGTGGGGGGACCCAGAGGCAGGCAGAGGAGGGCAGTGCAGGGGGAGGCAAAGAAGGGGAGGTAGGCAGAGAGCAGCAAGGAATAGAGATGGGGAAACAGAGTCACGGAAAGATACAGAGGTCAGGAGAGTGACCAACAGGAGAAGAAAAACAGAGAAACCGAAGGAGACAGAGAGAGGAGGAGGGAGGGGATAGAGAGAGAGAAAGGGAAGAAAGGCCAGAGGAGGTGGGGGCAGAGAGAGGTGGTTACTGGTGTAGCTCACAGCTTGTCTCACAGGACTAAAAACTAGAAAAGCTGTCCTGGGTACCCTCTGGGGGCCTGGGGAATACTGAAGAGCCACCAGGTCAAGAGTAGGGTCTTCCTGTGGCCAGGAATGGTGGGAGCCCCTCTGACTCTCAGCCCCTCTGGCTGGGCTCAACTTCTCTCCCTGTTGAGCCATCCTGCCCCTTTCTCAGAGATGCTATCCCATATTTACCCAGATCCTTCTCCAGCCCACCCCACTAGTCCTCTCCCAGAGTGGCACTGTGAGGCCACCTGCACACACCGAACCCCACCCCAAACATCCCAGCCTGCCTGGACTCTTCTCCTTTAAACTCTAAGAGAATTCCTAAGGGAAGAAAAACCTTCAAAGGATTAAAAAAATAGAGTATTTATGCCAGAGCTTAATATACTCACTCTGTTCTGAATCTCAGTTTCCTCATCTGTACAATGAGGACAACAGTTCCCGATATCCCAGGGATACTGTGAGAACTAAATAAGATCAGGTGTGAGTGGAACCCGACCCAGGGCCTGGTACCCAGTGAGGTCCAGTGGATATTGGATGTTCCCAGCTGCCCTTGGTGGAGCCAGGACTCCCAGTATTCACATAGGATCAGGATCCCCAGGGCACTTCTCTCTCTGGAAAAGTGGGAAACAAGGGGCCTCATCCTGCACTCCAACAAGAGCACCCCCTTTCCTCTCTGGGAGGAGAGAACATGAACTGGCCACCTTCCATGTGCCAGAAACCCAGCTGAGGGCTTTCATAGACCATCCCTTTGATCCTCACAACCACCCATTCTACAGATGAGGAAACTGAGGCTCAGAGAAAGGCTTGCTTGGCATTACACAGCCAGTACTTGGCAGAATCTGCTCTTCTGGACTCGGAGGCCCCTGCCAGGCCCTGGGAGCTACCTTGATGCTGTGGAACACGCTTGGCTGCACATCCTGAGGGTCTGGGCTGGCTTTGTCTCCAGGTGCGTTTTCTGTGCCCATGGTGGCCTTGGTTTCCTTGTCTGGTACCTGTTGTCCCTCACTCGCTGGCCCTGAGGGACAGACAATCAGGAAAGGAGAATAGATAGAATCTCAGAGAAAGGCCCTAACCTGATCAGATAGCCCTAGACTTCAGAACCAAGGTCTTTCAGGAGGAATGGGCCTTAGTGGTTAACAAGAATCGGAGGATCAAATCACATTCAGCCTTCCTCATTCTGAGGTCACAGCGCCGGAAGGGACTTTCCTAAAAGGGTGTGTGTCCTTGTGCTTTTACTGGCTCGACACCTACTGGGACCACCTATTTCACACTTCACTCTGCTCCCAGCAAAACGTCCCTTTTAAGGAGAAGCTGCTGACCTCTTCACACAACAAACGTGCAGGCAACGGCTCCCGGTAGTAGGGTGAGCCATGCAGACTCTCAGTCTGCCTTGGGTTATGAGACAGCCCGCACTCTTGGAGGCTGAGTCTGTCTGGCTCAGTCTAGGATCAGAAGTCTGGGGCCAGGTGCAGGGTCAACCTAGGTCCATAGTCAGGGAATAAAGGATTTTCTGGGGTGTATTGGAGTTGATTCCAACCCTTTCACACGGAATCCCTGTGCATGTCATCACAGAGCTAACCAGCCCAATCCCCAAATCACACCATTAGACATATTGCTGGTCGGGGCAGAAAGGGCCTCCAGCTCATCCCTTTTAACACTGGGTGATAACTGAAGAGGCAGAGCTGTCTAGGACCCTTGGCCTCCTTTACGCATGTTGGCTTTCCTCACATGGTAACTATGGCAACTGTCAGTATCCCACTCACAGCAATGAGAGGAAAGCTGAGCCCTTTCAGAGGCATCTCCCAGGGTCTCCTGAGCTCACTCTCAGTGGGGAGCCTGGAAGTCCACCTTGTGACTCTACCCCTCCATTTAGTCTGAAACCACCTGCTCCTCCTGGCAGCCCAGGCCTCCTTGGCCTGCCTCCCTTCCTGTGGCTCCACTTCCCGCCGGAAGCCTCATTGTTTCACATCCCTCTCACCACTTGCAGGAGTTTCCTCTCACTCTGCATGCTCTTCCTGGAGCCTAAATATTGATTTCAGGTTCCCTCTGACCTGGGGGACTCTCACTATATCTCCAGGCCTGAAAGACAAACTCAGGGATGGGCTACAGACGCCCTGAACCACCACAGGTGAAATTTTTGTGCTCCTCTTACAAGGTACTGGGAGCCTGAGGATTTTTTAAATTGAGATGTAATTCATAGCCATAAAATCCACCCTTTTAAAAGTGCACGATCCAGTGGGTTTTCGTACATTTACAAAGCTGTACAACTATCTCCACTATCTAATTCCAGAATATTTTCATCCCCCCAATACAAAGTCCCCTACCCATCTGCAGTCACCTCCATTCCTCCTTCTCCCCTGGCAAACACTCACCTACTTTTTGTCTCTATGGATTTGCCTACTCTGAACATTTCATATAAATGAAGTCACACAATATGTGGCCTTTCGTGATTGGCTTCTTTCACTTAGCATAATGTTTGCAAGTTTCAGGTATTAGAAACATTCATGTGAATTTTTATGTAGACATGCAGTTTCAGTCCTCTTGGGTGTACACCTAGGAGCAGAATTGCTGGGTCATACGTTCATATAAAATAATTCTATGTTTAACTGTGTGAGGAACTACCAAACCAGTTTCCACAGCGGCAGCACCATTTTACACTCCCTCCAGCAATGTTCCAATGTCCCTCCATCTTTGCTCATACTTTATTTTCTGTCTTTTCGATTATAGCCATCTTCATAGGGTAGAGGTGGTATCTCAGTGTGGTTTTGGTCTGCATTTCCCTAATGACTAATGATGTTGAGCATCTTTCCATGTGCTTATTGGCCATTTGTGTATCTTGCTTTGGAGAAATGTCCATAAAACAGGTGGAGGAATTTGGCTGAGGAAATGGAAGTGCGTGTGGCTGGGGAGGAGTCCCTCTGAGAGGCATAAACACTCAGAGGAAGCAAGGAGCTATTGAAACAAAGCTGGCATCTGACAGGAGGAGATGGGAAATTGGCCTAGGGAAGGGGAGTGTCATGGGACACTCTGTGGGAGTCACTTTAAAGGCAAAGAGGAAGTAAGGCAGTTCAAAGCAAAGGCTCCCAGAGAAGGCAAAGGGGACCATTTCTGAGCCTCAGCTCCCCTCATCAGCAGCAGTGGGTTACCCGCTGTCGTCTGGGCTCTGTGCCACAGGCTTTCTGTGCACTGGCCCATGAATGCTCTCCACAGCTCTGTCCCTTTGGTGTCTTATTATCTCTGTGCTTCTGATAAGGACACCTAGGCTCACAGAAACTAGCTTTGCTGGTTAGCATTGGTCCCACGACTCAAGACCAGGTAAGTGTTAAACTCAACATCACTCAATGCTCCTCGTACAAGTTTGACAAGGGGAAGAAGCACAGTGCTTTTCTCTGTCTTGGTCCAGCCAAACATAACCCGGTCCCTTCATAGGTAGCAGCGCCAAGCCACCAAGGGGCCAAGACAATCAGATGAGAGAGCGGGAGCTGAGGCTGGGAGCAGAAGTCTGTGACCTGGAGCCCCAGCTCTGAAGGAAACCCAAGGAACGGATGGGGGAGAGGGGTGGAAGACCTGTGGGCCAGTTCAGCACGTGAGGCCCCCAGCTCCAGGCCAGACCCTGGACCCTCCATTTTGCTTTCTGGATATACTGGAGGTGTTGTCCTGTGCCCCTACCTGCCTAGCCCCAGTTCCAGCCCCCCACCCTCTCACCTGTCCACTCCTGGAACCTACTCACCTGCCTCAGGTGAGCTCCCACTCCGGCCTCACCTCTGGCTCTCCCTGAAGCTTCGATTTCAGCCTCTTCTGCTAAGGCTCAAAGCCTTTCTGGGATTACTTTATGCTTTAGAGATATGGCTGTTTATAGAGGGCAAAGTCCACAGCCTGAGCCTCTGGGCAGGGGAGGGAAGCACTAGCCACGTCCCTCCGGGCTCTGAAAGGAGCACGCCTCATGTACTAGGTGGTCAGTCGGCCACTGGATGGGGCTTGTCAGAAAGGCTGTCCATCCCCTCCGAACCCTTCCTATGTTCTGGGGCCTCTGCTGATGGGTGATAGCAAACCCTCGCCTTCTTGACTCAGGGCAGAACTCCCCTTGGAAGGAGGGTCATGTCCAAGGCCATGTGTCCCCCTCATGTGGAAGGGCACTGAGGCCCTGCCCTGTTCCCTGGGTCCTTTGTCAGGGGCCAGCCCTGATAGGAGGAGGGAAAAACTGTGGGGCTGAACCTGGGCTGGGCTGGCAGTGGCCTGTGGGAATGAGGGGACCGGGGGCAGGGAGCCAGGCCCTAGTTTAAAAAACCCAGTCCCTCTCTTCAAGGTGGACAGCTAGGCTTTAGGGTCCCAGGTAGGCCAGGTGGCTCCATGGGCTAGGGACCCACAGTCCAAGCTGGCTGGCAGTGGGTCTGTGTGCCCACCTGTTGGTCGGTCACTTGGCTGGTCACTCATACAGGTATACCATGTCCACCTGCTGGTAAGCCAGCCAGCCAGCCAGCCACTATCTTTCAGGAGAACTGTCCATTCAGGCTGTCAATCAGCCACCTGCCGGCAGCTGTCTCATAAGACAGACAGACAAGTTCCTGAAAGTCTGTCAGCCAGAGACTCCTGCTTCAAGGCTGCCCTTCATGGGCAGAGTAAGCATTCTTCACACCACCTGAGTCTGGGTGATGAGGAGCAAAATTTCAGAGACCAGCCTGACTGCAAGGACCACCTTCCTTTACCTGTTCTCTTCGGGAAAGGCCTAGGATTCTGCCTCCTTTGGCCACCTCCCGGCTGCAAAGGGCAGGTCTCAGGGAAATGAGAGGTTAAGAATAGGCTTTCAGGCCTCAGACATGGGCTGGAATCCCAGCTGTGCTACAAGCCCACTGTGTGAGCCTGGGCATATCCCTTGATCTTTCTGAGCCTCAGTTTCCCCATTTGTAAAGTGAAGGTAACAGCATCTACTGATGGAATTCTGGACATACTACTCCTCAAACATGGCACCTTGGCCACATTTGAGAAAACATTAGAAGCAGGTCCTAACACCTAGAATAGTCATTCCACTCTGATCTTCTCTCGCCTTTCACCCTGAAGCGGGTCATAAGATACTCATTTAAGAGTTACTCTCTTTCTGCCTGGAGATAAGAAACAGCCCTAACTTTGAAGACTCAGGGACACAGAGAAGAATCTGAGCAAACAGGCCTTGCAAGCTTCCCCCAAGTTTATCACATTAGATCAAACCCCCTGTGCAATACTTCTCAACAACTATATACTTCTTCATCAAACTTGGCGTAAAAAGTCACAAGTTTTGACATTTTAGGCTAGATGATTAAAAAATCATAAACCAGACTGGGCAACATGGTGAAACCCCATCTCTACTACAAATGCAAAATTTAGCCAGGTGTGGTGGTGCATGCCTGGAATCCCAGCTACTCGTGAGGTTGAGGTGAGAGGATCACTTGAGCCCAGGAGGCAGAGGATGCAGTGAGCCAAGATCCTACCGGGATGACAGAGTGAGACCATCTCTCAAAAATTAATTAATTCAAATTAATTTAATTTAAAATAATAAAAACTAAAAAATGTGAGAATACATAGGTTTTCCTGTTTCTTTGGGCCTTTCTTTCTGAAGGCTCCTGCATCATGTAAAACTTACATTAAATAAATTTGAGCCAGGCGCCGTGGCTCATGCCTGTAATTCCAACACTTTGGGAGGCCAAGGTAGGAGAATTACCAAGCCCGGGAATTCCAGACCAGCCTGGGTGACATGGCAAGATCCCATCTCTATGTAAGAATAAGAATAATTAAAATAAATTAAATTTTAAAAAGCCAAATAAATTTGTATGCTTTTCACCTGTTAAGCTGTCTTTTGTTACAGGGACCTCAGCCACCAGCCTAGCAAAGAAATCTCTTTTCCTCTGTAAGACCTCAAAGAGATAAGGCCTCTAGGGCAGCTGGCCCAGTGCCTGGCATATAGGTGGCCCTGCCAAGGACCATTGTTCTCACTTTTCCTGATAAATATTCACGCACATCCATGGCAATTGGGCCCAGCTGGACCCATCCCCTCCAACACATACCTGGTCTTCCTCCAAGTAAACCCCTTTGTCCTGACATTGCCATTTATCCATCCCTGGATCATCTCTCTCCCTGTCTTACTCAAACCCTAACCAACCACAGGGCCCAAGGAACTGGACCCCTTTCTCCAAGTACACTCACTGGCTAGGAGGTGGGAATACAGGCTTGACACCTCCAGCTGCAATGCAGGGGCCGTAATCTCTCCTTCCCAGTGCAGAAAGTATCTACTGAGGATGAAAACCATCTACCCCCACATTCAGCCTGAGCACTAAAAACCCCAAATTGTACCCTACTGTCTACATTCACATGATGGTATTTGCTATTTCACTGTCTTCATTAGCATTTTTTTCCTTTTCCTAGACTGTCCGTCCAAAGCAAATGGTTTGATTGTGCTTTAGAGGAACTTCCTGAAAGATGAATCAGCCCTTCAAGGGAAGAGGCTGTGGCCCTCAGATTCTTTGACTCTCTCCCCACAAAATCCTCACCTTACTGTTTCCACCAATCCAAAACCATTGAATTGAGATTCTTACCCATCTTCATCTCCATCTTTGTCTTGAATAGGGGCTGGGTGAAATAAGGCTGAGACCTGCTGGGTTGCATTCCCAAACAGTTAGGCGTTCTAGGTCACAGAATGAGATAGGAGGTCAGCACAAAGTACAGGTAATAATGATCCTGCTGATAAAATCGCTTGCAGTAGAGAGGCTGGCTAAATCCCACCAATACCAAGATGGTGACGAGAGTGACCTCTGGTCGTCCTCACTGCTACACTCCCCCCAGCACCATGACAGTTTACAAATGCAGTGGTAATGTCAGGAATTTACCCGATTTGGCCTAAAAAGGGGAGGCATGAATAATCAACCCTTGTTTAGCATATCAAGAAATAACCATAAAAATGGGCAACCAGCAGCCCTGGGGAATGCTCTGCCTATGGAGTAGCCATTCTTTATTCCTTTATTTTCCTAATAAACTTGCTTATACTTTACAGATCACTCTGAATTCTTTCTTGCACGACATCCAAGAGCCCTCTCTTGGGGGGTCAAGATCCAGACCCCTTTCTGGTAACTCTAGCAGCAGATGCTAGGCAATCCATTCCTCAAGATAACGGCAGACACCCACTCCCAGAGGTGTTGGGGTGGAAGGCTGCCAATCTCAAGGCCATGAACCCCCGCCTGGGGCCCTTCCTACCTCCTAAGTTGCCTGGGGTTCCCTGGGCGTATAGATCCCCCTGCCAAGCTCCTGCAGCCCAGCTCCTGTCTCATCTGTCCCTCCATAAAACTCCCCTCCCAGGCCAGTTTCTCCTGGCCACTCTCTTGCATTGCTTGTATCTCCCTCTTTTCTGCCTGACTAGGCAATAAACTCCCCCAGGACAAAGGTCATCCTGTTCTCCCCCAGTCCTGGTGGATCATGTTAGTTCCCTGCTGAAACCCTCTGGGTGAGAAGACTTTGGATTCAAATATTTGTTTTGTCCTATTGTAGCTGTGTGACCTAGGACTGCTGATTTAGCCTCTCTAAGCCTGTTTTCCTCTCTGCAAGTGAGTAAGCAGAGTCTATCTCCCAGTGTTTTTGTTAGGATTAAAGGAAAATGTCGTATGCCTGGTATACTGTGGTGCTCAGCAATGGTTAGCTCCCCAACTCCCAGCTCCATCTGCAAACCGTGAGTACAGGCTCAGCGCCAAGGAGATCAAGGCTACTGGAAGCCACTCCCATCCCATGTACCCACTCCTAGTGAGCAGTATTCCCTGGCTCAAATAGATTCTTGCCATTTCCTAAATGTTCTTTTCCACCTCGAAGGCTTTGTACAAGCTTACTCTGAGCCCAGAGTGTCCTTCCTCCCAGCAAACAACTTGTCTTTCAAGGCCTAGCCCTGCTGAAGAACAAGACTGTTGGCCTGGAGCAGTGGCTCACACCTATAATCTCAGCATTTTGGGAGGCTGAGGTGGGTGGATCACCTGAGGGCAGGAGCTCAAAACCAGCCTGGCCAACATGGTGAAACACCATCTCTACTAAAAATACCAAAATTAGCCAGGCATGGTGGCAAGTGACTATAATCCCAGCTATTCAGGAGGCTGAGGTATGAGAATCACTGGAACCTGGGAGGCTGAGGGTGTTTTGTGTTTTTTTTGAGATGGAGTTTCGCTCTTGTTGCCCAGGCTGGAGTGGGCAACAAGAGTGAAACTCCATCTCAAAAAAAAAAAAAAAAAAAAACAAACCACAAAAAACAAGATTGCTGAATTGAACTAAACTAGATGAAGGGGAAGAGAAAGCTGGAACACGAGGGCTGTGGGAGGGGACTGAGGTGGTGCACATGAGTTGGGATGGGAGCAGCATGGGGGCCCTGGATGTTCCAGTTCCTTGTTTGGCCTGGCCCAGCATCCTGGAGGAGAGAGAGTCAAAGGCAGGAAGGGGCGTGTCTTCAGGCGTTGGACTTGGCTGTCGTATTTGGGAAGCCTCCCAGCAGGATTTTGGGTGGTCTGTTGGAAAGACAATAATAGTATCCTTGAGGTACAGCTTTGTGAGATTCCAGCTGTTGTTTCTTGAAGGAATCTGGCAGGGTCGTGGAGCGGGCAGGCAAACATTCTGGTGGTTTCCCAGCTCAGCCGGGGACCCTGAGCTGGGACTTTCTGTTCCCAGTTGTAACCTTGGCTACCCCATCTAGACCCAGGATGACCTAAAAACAGTAATCAGGGCTTGGAGGTAGGGTGAGCCCTGAGCCCACGGGGACCCAGGCCCATCTCCCTAGGCCTAAAACAAGGAGTCAGAGGCTCAGAGATACACAGCTATGGCTCAAGGCCAGGCCCCATCCCCTCCGTGTGGTTCCAGCTCATCTCTCTGTATGCTTAAATTAACCCCTTATGGGGTTGATGTTATCTCATCTCAGTCTGTATCATCTCTAGTCCTCCAAACACAAGGTGATCCAAATGGCCATCTTCAGGCTGTTTTGGCACAAGACCCTGGAGTCTAGAGAGGGCATCAGGCAGCCTTCCTTCAGAACCAGCCCCCTCAGGCCTGTGTTCACCAGGCACAGGCTGGGAACATTGGAGCCTTCAGTACAGACTTGTCCAGAAAGAGGGGAGGAGTAGGCCAGCAAGGGCTCTGTCTCCCTTGGGGGGCTTGAGTCTGAGCCCTGGCTCTGTTGCTGAGTAGCTGCATGGACTCGGCCAGGTAACAGATCTCCTCCTAGCTTTTGTTTCCTCATTTGTAAAATGGGCCCAGAGTGCTTTGTCATCATAAAAGTGCTGCACAGGCCAGGTGCAGTGGCTCATACCTGTAAATCCCAGCACTTCGGGAGGCTGAGGAGGGCAGATCATGAGGTCAAAAGTTTGAGACTGGCCAATATGGTGAAACCTCGTCTCTACTAAAAATACAAAAGTTAGCAGGGCATGGTGGTCCGCTACTTGTGAGGCTGAGGCAGGAGAATCATTTGAACCCAGGAAGCGGAGGTTGCAGTGAGCCAAGATCGCGTCCTTGTACTCGAACCTGAGCAACAGAGGGAGACTCTGTCTCAAAAATAAAGAATAAAAAAAAATTAGCTGGGCACGGTGGTGGCATTTGCCTGTAATCCCAACTACTCAGGAAGCTGAGGCAGGAGAATCATTTGAACCCAGGAGTCAGAAGTTGCAGTGAGCCAAGACTGTGCCGTTGCATTCCAGCCTGGGCAACAGAGCAAGACTCTGTCTCAAAACAAAACAAAACAAGGAAAGTGCTGCATACATGAGTGGGGTTACTATGAATGTTCCCAGGACTCAGATTCTCTTGTGACTGGACCCCATCAGCTTCTTTGGCTTAACTTCCCAAGATGTTGCCCAGTGACCCCCCGCTCCTCTGACGGTACTGGGCAGCTCACTAGCTTCACAAACATGCTAGGTAGTCACTTGTCTAAGCATTTGCAATGCTATCTCCTTCCCTGCCATGCACACCTGTGTGGGATCAGTGGAAGGGAAGAGAAAGCCCAAGGGCAATGGCACAGAGAGGAAGGGCTCTGGTACCAGGCCGACCTGGGGGGGCTGGCCTTCACCCTGCTGTTTACTTTGGGGTGAGCTTGGACCTTGCTTGTCTCCTCTGAGCATCTGTTTCTCACCTATTAAAAAGAGGAACAGCCAGGTGTGACAGCTCACACCTGTAATCCCAGCACTTTGGAAGGCAGAGGTGGGTGGATTATCTGAGGTCAGGAGTTTGGGACCAGCCTGGCCAACATGGTGAAATCCAGTCTTTGTTAAAAATACAAAAATTCACACTGAGATATCATCTCACGCCAGTTAGAATGGCGATCATTAAAAAATCTGGAGACAACAGATGCTGGAGAGGATGTGGAGAAATAGGAACACTTTTACACTGCTGGTGGGAGTGTAAATTAGTTCAACCATTGTGGAAGACAGTGTGGCGATTCCTCAAGGACCTAGAAATAGAAATTCCATTTGACCCAGCAATCCCATTACTGGGTATATATCCAAAGGACTATAAATCGTTCT